CGATGGTTTGCTAAGTGTTCACATTCGTAAGTATACGGCTTGAATAATCAGTAGGTTTACGATTCGGTAGGCGAGGTTCCTCGTCAATCAGTCGGTTTCCGTGTGTAACTATTGTTTATAGCTGTCCCGAGACTGCAAATTTGCATCGATTACTTCGAACTTGAGCCGTCGGGTATCCACTTTGTTTAGACGCCGGATTTTGTTTGTCAAATTGTATTCCCGGAAGGATATTTGTTATTTTCTTTTACTTCACATAACCCATGCTACGAGTGACAATCTATTGAAGCCTAGAAAACAGCATAGCGAATTTTTCTTTGTGAATGTAGGCAGAGATTTATTCCAAGATTTTCGAATACACTATTTCGACTACTGCTCTATTTCTATACCCGAACAACACGGTAGATTTTTGGGTTGTGATTGGGAGAAAGTTAACGTTATGTAGTTCAAACACGAGGGGATTCAAGAGACCTTGACCTACACGTTTTCTGCAAGTTTCGTGAATTTTTGAAGCGTCGCAGGGTCATGAGAGTTTCAGGTTTAACGAGCCCTAGGTCAAATTTCTCTTCCCCTCACGCCCCGACGAAACTTTGGCAATAGAAGAACTCAAAAAAACGGGCAGATAGGAAATTTGCACGCTAAAAATCTGCACGTTTTCGCCTAGTAAGCGGCGCTGGACTCACCCGGTAAACCAATGATGCAGAAATAAAAATGAAATAAAAAATTCAAAAAAGAATCATACAGGATGCATTTAAGGACAGTGAGTACGATGGCCGAGGGCGGGGCGGTTTTGATGACGTCATGGGCCACCCGTTTAGCGTGCTGTGGGTGTGATCGGCATTACCTTCCAACACCCTTCCACCAATAGCAACTAATGACGATATCGAAACCACTCGACCTTCAAACCATCGTGTACACTGCCTTTAATCCTGCCGTAAGAATAACGCGAATTTGTTTACAAATTTATATCAATTGTGAGGGTCAAATGGAAAACCTCTCTGCACCTACCACCCCCTCCCCCCAATGCAAAAAGGGAACGTCATCCCTCTAGGGTTCCAGATCCCTAAATATAAAATAATAACTTTCCCAAAACTAAGTATATTATACATTTGGTAGAGCATACACTGCGAAATTTTGCAGAAATTATTTGCCGTCAGATCTATCCATAATTAATCCATATACATTTCTATCAGGGTGGAAACTACCACAGACCAGTTTCGAAGTACTACATGCTCTCCTAAATGTGATACATATAGACAGAGCAAATCTGTCCCCTGAAATCTCGAGAATCTGATTTTTCATAAAAAAAAACTCTTTCGCTTCCCTTCGACTCTACTTCTATTAAAACCTTACAATCTATTGTCACATGTTCTTTTGCAAGAAATAAATCCAACTGAAGGTAAAAACAACGCTATAAAATTAACCACAACAGACCTATAAACTTGCATACATAAATAAAAACAGAGCGCTCAACTTCCTTTTCACAAGAAAAACACGTTGTAATATACCTGGTCATGCTTGAAGCAGCACTCAGATACTGCAAATTTTGCAAACTTACTATACCACGGCATTTCAGGGCAACCCAGAAATATTCAGCCAAACGTTTTATTTCCACCAAAACTAGTTCAAAACTAAATGTTGACCTGAAAAAGAGGCAAAGAAATTCAACGTACCGTAGATCATGGTCCTACGACGAATGCGCTTCCGGCGTTGATCGGTTTCGTTTGCCGAATCTGTACGCCGAACGTTAGTTCGAGGAGGAAATAGACCACTGCCAGACCCACTTCTGCTTGTTACTGCAAAATAACGGGTTCAGGAGCGAACAGTTCAAAATACTTTAGATATTTATTTATTTATTTATTTATTTATTACTATGCACTCGTAGGTGCGCTACAATAATTAGTCAGAAACCAAATCGTTATAAAATGAGAGTCATCGACTTAAAGTAAACACATTTGAGCAGTATTTTACCCACAAGCGGAAAGTTCACAGACACATATTATTCGAAATCGTTGATGCCTAATAAGGCAAGTAAGTCAATGTTAAAATAGATTATATTTCCAAAGACCCCGCGAAAAAAGGAAATTAATTCTCCGCCCCATTCTTCAATTCAAACGAACAGAAATATTTTAGACTTAGGGTAATAGTAAAAAGGAATGAATCTGTAGAAAGAAGGAAAAGGGACCAAATGAAACAGGTCTCCTAATTGCTTCGAACTGCTGTAATCGTGATAAAAAAAATACTAAGACACCTCTGCAAAAATTAGAACCATTCAACCGCAAGTATTACAACACAGTATTTGTTGTGTCAATGTTGACCTATTTTGCCGTCCCAGAGTAACCAATGAATTCTCAATTACGATAAAATCTTCGACGGATTTTTTTTGTAGCAACGATTGATGAAAATGGCGATAATTTTGAAAGGAATTTTGAATGAGAGGAGTCCTGGAAACGGGCAGGAAAAAACTTTGAGCCTGTTCATTTTCAGACCCTCTCTAGTAAGTAGCTTTAGGGAAGGACGAAAAAATGAAGACAAAGCCAGAAGAGGCGAAACAAGCACTAACAAGTTCGGGTTTCCTATGACATTTAACAATATGCTAAACCTTTGTCAAGTAAAAATCTGACCTAAGGGCCATTAAACGGTTCATCAAAGACAAATGTTTTACTGATGACCACAAACATTATAAAAGTTGTGTTGGTATTAGTTATTAATCAAAGCTGGATATGCGAGAGCCACAATCGGAGCACAGTCGAAGTGGTAGCCGGCTCCAGTTGCCGTCGGGGAAGTATGTATTCAAGAAAATTGCCGGAAAGAGGTGATTTCTAGTGGGAACGATGAAGCCAGTGATCCATACTTCATGAAGTAACAAGACCTACACATATATTTGAGATCGCAGAGCGATCTCACGGTCAATAGACATTTTAGGCCTAATCCCAATGATTTTTCTCTATTACCATAATTAAGTCATTTTTGGGCGAGCTTACACTCCTACGCCTCATTTTCTGGGCAAAACCGCAAATCCTTACGGTTATATAGTCTAGCATGAGGAACACATTGAAAAGGGCTGCAAGAAACGAACACAACAAAAATTTACAGTAAAGAATCGCTGTGTATAACTAACCCTTATGATCGCTTGACATCTCACTTTTTGGCAGCGGCGAGCTACGGTTGAATAGAAATGTTTGGGCACAGAACGAACAGGTCTTCCCCCGACCTTCCCAATGATTCAACGCTTGGCCGACCGTGTGACCGTGCTGATAATGTTATTATCAAACGCCTATTTATGTCTGCTTAGACAGCAAAGCACTCTTGCCTCACCACCATCAGAGAACACTGCAGATGATAAGAGCGTCCTAATTGTGCAGGTGCTCTACAGTACAGGTTAATCCACTAACAACCTTTTCAAGTAGCAAAGAAAAACAGAAAGAAGTGCAATTTTCCCTGCAAAATATTAAGGAGGAACAGAAAGACAAAATAATATCAAAAGAAGAAAATATTGCAAAAAAGGCAATGGAGATAAAAATAGTGAAGAAGGCATAGGGAGACCAAAAAGAGACCATTAAAAAAGGAAAGATAGTAAAACAATCCAAATTGAAGAAGGGACTCGAGCGAACTGAACTTGCTGGTTAACATTTTTCCATTTTCTGGATCTGTCCGATCTACTCTGACTAGTTAACTTACACTGCATCGCTCCTAGACGACTGCCACTCGATGATCTGTTCAATATTGGCGACATTATCGGTGTTGTCGGACGTGATCCACTCGCTAAACTTCGCCGAGCCATATTCACACTACCGCCGCTTCCACGCCATGGTGTACCATCACTGTTCTCCGAATCCGAACCCTGAAATTACGCATTTTTTCATATTTCCGCACACCAATTTCCAGGTAAAAAGTTTTCGATATACTGTTATTTTTTGCTATGTGTGATACCTTTTTCGGAGATATCGGTACTTTCTTGCCAGTTTTCATACGAATGCAGCCGAACAGAATGCGTTCCCTTGGCCACGTTCGTTACAAGAATTTCAGAGGAACCAGAGGAACAGCGAAAGGGATTGGAAGGGTATCGACAGGTCTGACTCTGTCCAATCGGAGAACCAGAGAAGTGAAGATTAGAAGACCGGAAAAAGACTAGGTAGGTAGATTCAGGTGGGCTAAGCCAAACCAATCAATACATACCTAGTGACCTTCGCTTATTCTCCTATTCTTCCGAAATGCTGAGAATGCTGCCTCAACGACCACACGGCGCTTGCTTCAGATAGACTCATCCCTCGATCTTTAGGATTGTAAAAAAGTTAAGTGAAAGTTTTTACAAAACCTGTCACAGTACGCCATGCATTCAGATAGTGTTCACAACTAAAGAAACTGAATGGCGCGATGATGCACATAACGTTTCGCAGAACTACGAATACCAGGCATATTTTACAGGCTACCCTGTAGAAATAGTTGGTCGACGAGGATCTGAAAAGCCAAATGCGGAGTCCCCCCCCACCCCACCACACTAATGTAGCCATACATGAATTTATATACAGGGGGGGGGGGCAAAAAAAAAGACATTTTGCCTATGTCGGACTTCGGCTCTTTTTTCTTCGCAGAGATTGCTGTCGTTGACGGGAGTTCCTCAGCAGAGTATTCCCTAAGTGTTCCTCTATTAGTGTACGCAGGCTCTCCTTCACTGCCCTCACCGTCTTCAGAATATGACGTCATCTGTCACCGTCGTCAGGCTCAAGGAGGTCTACCGTAAGAGCTTCAGCCTGAAGCTCTTACGCAATTTCGTGAATCGATTTAATGTTGGATAGTTTTCTAGAGGCATTAGCTACCACTGTGCAAATCCCCTCGGAACTAGCTTTCCAGTAAGGGTCGTTATGGTACACGATCCTTCGAAGACCCCATTGAGATCGACCAGTGCACCATGTTTCCAGGGCTAATTCTTCTGATGCCGTCCACGTACGTGGCCACTATGAAGATTTTCTTATAGAATGGAATGCACTCTTTAATAATAAGTTGGAACCGTTCGGTCTGAGTTGAGTAAAATGTGCTTAAATCCATCTGGAAGTGGAGGCAAAATGTCTTTTTTTTTTTTGGCCCCCCCTGTATATAAGGCGATCAGATTTAGCATACTGCCTTACTACTCTTCGTTCTCAAAGCAAATATGCCGCTGCGCATCTATGATAATTCATCCATGAACAAACACACATTTCTGATTATAGAGTTTTAGAGGCCTGTGCTACCATCACCCATTCTTTCTATACATACGGTTTCATTTCCCGCCACGATTCTGTATCCATTAGGAAGAACAGAAATCATATTTTCTGCTACTAATCTTTTCAGGCATTGTTGGAGAGGCTCTCAGGGTCTACGAGAAAATTGATCCATTTACAATATGCGGAGTAGATGATTTTCCTACGCAAAAGTATCACTCGCCTAAAAACTTCATGAATCCTGGATCTTAACCTATGAGCCCTCTCCGAAAGAGAGTTAGCAGAAAAAACGCCGTTGGAAACCAGTGCAAAGCAATCGCCTGAGGTGTGATAGGAAAATCAGTTGAAATTGGGCAGAGGGCCAAATATGACAACGCTACCAACAATTCTCCAAGTTCATGCATTCATTCCAATTCTTTCGTAAACTATGAAAAAGAAAGCCAAGAGATAATAAAACACTGCGACTATTGCTACTTGTTTTCTCAAATCTGCTTAAACTCAGTAAACTCCTAGAAAAATGTTGCGGTCATATTAAACAATTACAATCACCATGGCAGACCATGAAAAAGCATTGGAAATCAACTAATTGGCTTGTGCTTATTTTTCAATTTTTCTCTGGTACATTTTTTGGATCTATGCTATCTCAGAAAAATGAAAAAGTTGGTATACCCGAGCGCATCACATGTTGAACCTAGTGAGCTATCCGGGAAATTTGGATGTGGGAATATGCTCTGTGATCTGGTAATTATTATACCTTCATATCACTTCATGTCACAGTTACTTCGTATAGATTTGGCAAAGCCACCGATACTAGGTGCATGGTTCGGCTCAAGGGATTAAAATCGCACCTCTATACGATATTCTAGGCGAGGAACATTCCAGGCTGGCGAAGAAACCCATGAATAAAGAATCTTTTCATGTTCGATACTTGCACTTATGGTTAGGACACTCTGGTTGTTAACCATGCCATACAGAAGATGCGAGCATCACAGCCTGCTAACTCGAAAAGAGAAAGACAGCGGAAGATAGACAGTGTGTATGTGTTAGCCTGGCATGGTCCTTTGATGTGGGTAACCAATACCTCCGCCATATGATACGTAAACTTCATCTTACCCTATTTCCCGCTTGAACACTGTCTTGATCGAATTCCAGAAAGCGAAAATGCATACATGGGTCAAATAAGCGAACAGGTATAGGTGGATAAGTTATCATATACTAAATCGGGAAAAACTTAAGTTGGTATCATTATGATTAGCCCCGTAGAATAATTCCATTTTTGATTCTGGTTGTCCAACCAGCAGAAGTATGAAAAAAAAACTTTGAGAAAAAAGTCAATGAAAACTAACATGAAAATTCATGACATTTCCATGAATAGGCAGCGGACTCGTGGTTGTCACCGACCGGATCGGTCGTGACAGAACTGGCGACAGCAGCACTGGTGGCACACATATCGATTCACCTGGCGAATTGCTCTGAAATCGAAATTCATCAAGGCAAACACAAAAAGAGAAGCAGAATTATCAAAACGGGGCAATCTGCGTATAGGCCTTCACTTTTTCCACACCTTACAGTGCACATACTCCTCAAAAGGCGTGATAAAACCTATACATCATGAAATACGAACAAACCTATCTTTCAGTTCCGACATTTACTGCACAAAAGTGTTCTAAAATTCACACTAGGTAAGAGAAAATAAAAAAAGTAGACCACAAAAAAAAAACTAAAAAGACCTCTACTTGTCAAACGGCATGAATCCCACTCTCACATAATTCTCATTTTCCCTTCCTTTGATTTATAGCCAGTTCTACCACCACCCACTCTTTTCATGCATTCAATTCATTCCGGTCAGAGATACTGTATCCATTAGGGAGAGTAGCCTTCATATTTTCTGCTACTAATCTTTTCACGTCCATACACATTTTCTAATGACACCTCTCTTCCACAACATCTGTAACACAGTAGATGCAGCACAATCAATGGTGCCGATTCGGTATCATCATAATTACCAGTGTTAAAGCGGAAGTGATCACGAAATCAGTAAACCGTTGGCGGATTTAGCCCCGGGGTATGAACACCGCACGCAGAGACCGACGTTCATTTTCGCTAAGCGGTCCTAGGAATGCCATGCAAGAAATAGAAAAACTTGTCAAGGAGCAGCACTTTTCCGATTATTTATACTGAATCACCTTTGCACCACTATGCACCTTGTATTTCTATATTAAGTAATTTCGCCAGATAAGACAAAAGACAAAAAGATCAGTATGAACATGAAGAATTGAAATCCCAAAACTGTAAGTTTTAATTAGCATAATTATAGGAGAATGTTCTGAACTATCTCCCATTCTTTTTTTTTGGGAACCTCACCCTTTCGGCTAGAACGAACCTCAGTCAGAAGTTCCTGTCATGTGCAGTGAAAAAACAAGCATAAAGAATGAAAGGTCGTTAGGGAGAGTTTAAGTAACCCTACGCACCTCATCACATTACCATAGCTCGTTTAAACAACCAGCGGACAACACTCGCATAATACTGTTCTGATTTCGGATTCGACAGTTTCATCTAGAGCAATCATATTACCAAATAGGAGATTTATACTGCTGAAGATTTAAAGAGAAAAAACGAGGTTAAAGTGAATCTCTAACAAAAATCTCTGGTTACAATTGATAGAAGGCTGTGCATTTCTAGGAAACACACTGTTTTGAACATTTCAATTTGCTCATTAGCCAGAAGCGAAGTTAGTTTTCATTTTCTCCCACCAGATTCCAGCATCAGTGAATACCGGGAGGCAACATGACTCATCCAGTGTGGAGAGCAAAAACTCCTACAATACCGTGAGGACAGCCTTCTGATATTTTGCACCAGTCTTTCACTTCAGAAATACTTGTTTCAAGCGTTAGAGCGCTGATGGAAGGTTGCGCTTTTGAAATCAATGTGATCGACCAAATCCTACCGGAATTTAATACTATTCTTTAAGATTATTTAAATTTATTAAAAGGGGTGGTGAGCAAAGACGTCGCTTAGTCCCCGTTTCGCATGTGCCCTCAAAACAATACTCATACGTCATATCACTTTATGCAATTTCTTGTGCTTTGACGGCCTTTTCCCCGAGATTCTTCTCAACGCGATCCCTCATTTCATTTCGCTCACCTGTTAAGCCATATTTGCCGACTTAGCCATCCCATTCCCCTAAACCTAGCTAGCTGGCTAATCCTCTTATCCACACATTTGCGTCACTCACGGTCATAACAGCAAGTCGTTCCATATATCCCTGCAAATGACGTCTAACTCGCTCCCTGAGGAATAATTTTCTTCGAATTAGCTGGTGAATACATAATTCCTGAGGGACTTCTCAAAAATTAGCCCAATTATGAGCTTCTCTTTTTGTAAAGCAAATCTTCCGAGAGAATTGCAGAGCTCGTGCTTTCAAGCAGACAGGCAAAGCAGATTGGGCAATGAGGGAGTGATTGTTGTTCACAGAACAATCTTCCAAGCTAGAATGAACTTTTTGGATATCTTACTAATGAATTTCGAAAATGGAAAAAAGTTGGAACTGAGCGGACTTGGGGGAAGCGTTGCCAGATTTTGAGAAACAGCACGCTCAAAATATTCTGCTCTTACTGCACGTATTTCGAAATCAGCTCTCTACAATCAGCCAATCAGCTACCTACCAATGGCTACATTTACTTTCGAAGAGTTTCCAAAAAACAGGGTCTTCGCAATAACACCAGTTTCGCGGTTGAAGGCACTTTCTTGGATCGGGTTGGCGTGATTCTT